AGAAATATTATGTTAAACCTTGCAGGTGGATGATTATCCGACATAATGACTAATGAACTGAGTGGTACTAATTTCGAAAATGAATAAGAAGTCGATTAATTATTTTGTCAGTAATTTAATCAACGGACGTTAAAATCTTAAACATAGGGAGGTAAATCGGTCAATTAGATTAATATTTATTAATCAAGTGGAGGCTTGAATTTATTGAATAAATCAGAGCTAAATGGAGAGAACAATAATATTGCTTTAGTGGGATGTTTTATTATTTAATTCTAATTAGAATTTTAAGAATTAATTATATTCCTTATTTTAGATCCATTAGGAGAGGAATATTCCTTCTAGAATATTACCTAGGACTTCTACATGAGATTGGAAATGAAGCATGATTTGGATTGGATATGAAGCATGATTAGGATTCCTAAGCCTAACGGGATAAGCCCATATTTAGCACCTCCGTAAGGTCTCTAATGGAGCCTATAAATACGCCATGTCTCAACCTCTTCAATATTTACATACTACTCAATTTTTCCTTCTTCCTAAGAGAGAAAAATTGTGTTCTTCTAGAGTTCGAGAGATTCGATTAAGCGCACCACGAAGTAGGTGTTTTAGGTAATCCATTAGAAGGCGTTTGGGTAATATTTATTCTAGCCTTTTATCCACATAAATCCGGCCACCCTCCACCGTCGATCGCCGCCGCCTGCCACCGTCGACCACTGACGGAAATCGCCATTGTCGCACGCCTCCAGAAGCCACCCAGCGCCCAGCCACATGCAACCGCGAGCTATTGCCCGAAGCCGCACGTAGCCAGGCACGACCGCAGCTCCCAGCGACGATCGCCAGTACCCGCTCGAGAGCCCAGCACAGACTGCCTACTCGCCCGACGCCGCTATCCGAGCTAATCGCGCGGCACTTCCAAGCACTAGAAGAATGCGCGCCCTAGTCCGCGTGTGCACAGGAAACGTGCGACGCATGTACGCGTGACCCCATACGCCCTTGCCCAGTCCTCGTCGGTGTAGGAGTCCCGCACTACACGTGTCTGTCTTCCTCACTGCCATCCTGCGTCCGCGAACCCCAACGTCTGTCCGCGACGTGCCCCGCCACAAGCCCGTCCACCTACTCGCGTGTAACTGCCGTTCGCGAGAGC